TTCATCATCACTTGGGAAAACATTGTTGATAAACAACTATTAAGGGAAAATGTAAGGAGAAAGACAAAACAGTGCTTCTCCTCTGGCCTCCAAAGGATCTTTCTGCACTCAAACCTGGTTTGAGCCACAGGGTTTAGCTGGTGCAGTTTGCCTGTAGGTTGTGCACAGCATCCAAAGTATCATTTCACAGCACTCCTTCGCTGCGTGCCAGTAAAACACTGTGACTTTCCAGCCACAGATGGTTTTCAGGATCATTATCACTGGAAAAAGGGGAAAGGAGGGGCTCTGTGTTGTTGATACAGGCTGCCATGGCACCGAGGCTGCGCCTGTACATCTGCCTGTTCTCTGGCCCTGAGTCCAGCTGGTGTAATTCAGCCACTTTCATGCTCTTTAACTTTCCACCTTCCTGAACACAGTGGCCACATCCGACCTGCCTTGCGGGTTCAGTTCCTGGTTGTGGCGACTTCTGGCCCACGACCGCGGATTGTGTGGGTCAACGGTAACCAGCCAAGGCCACTGCTGGTGGGTTACATCCTGGGTAAGCGAGTCCCAGTGCCCAGGAGAATCCCCTGGTGCGGGCTCCAGGCCTGAGCTGTGCATCTCAGAGCAGAGCTTGGCCTCACCCACCCAGGGCTGCGGAAGGATCAGGAATCGTGATGTTACACTAGTTCACAGCATTCAAAAACAAATAAATACCCATGAAACACACGGGAAGGGTTATTACTTCAGCACGTATAAAGGAGATATTGAAGTGACAGGGAACTTCACTTCCCACTTTTTGAGGGGATAATACAAACCAGCAGAGCAGAAAGAAATCCAAAACATCATTTATCAAAGCGGCAACAGAATTTTCTGTCAAAGGAGAGATTTCACAACAAGGATGCTTTTGGCATGGGTGGATTCATGACAAAACAATGAAGCAATGCGAACGATATATGATCATTTCTTTGTACAGAGTGCCGAAAAGCTTTCAGAAGCTTTGTAAAATTAGAGCTGCTTATGTTTAACAGCTAAAATGAAAAGGTGGGGAGGGAATGATTCCCCCGTGCAGTTCTCTGGAAGCTGAGCTCATGATTGTACTCAGCGGGAAGAACGCTACACGTCGAGCACTCTCAGCACCTTCCCTCCCACTGAGCTGCAGGCACAGGGGAAGCTCAGCAATCTGCAGAATTGGGTCCTTGCTTTTGTTCCTCTCGCCTCTCTCCCTCCCCACGTACTCTCCATCCTCCCTTTGACACACACAGATGGAAAGACTGATGATAACACACCAATTAGGTTATTTGAAGCCTTGCTACCAGCTACTCTAAATGCAGGCACATGAAGCAGCAGGATTCTGCTGGTGACATTTGGACCACAAATGAAGTCCCCAAGAGTAATAAACAATCAGGTAAGGAAATCTGGAAAGAAATTACCCAGCACACCTCGTCTTCTTGGCCCCCATGAGATCCATATAAAACGTGTTAATGCATCTGATTATGATCTAAATTATGTACAGAGGCTCCTGCCAAGCACTCTGTGAAGTTTCTTTATTGTTAAGTTGGAAGCTGTTTAAGCATGGTCCAGTCATCATGTCTCAAATTAGATTTGGGAAAAAACATTTTCCTCCTTTATTGCTGGCTCAGAACATGGGTTTGTGGGAGAAGGTCGATATGTGGTTTCTTTCTGCTGAAGAAAGAGCGGGAGAATTGGTGGCAGAACAAAAGAAGAGTCAATTACCTGTCCTTGTATCGTAACCTGAGCTGTGTGGATTTACTGTACACAGACATGCCAGAAAACGACTGCAGTTTCAGCTGGCTTTCTAGAAGCGTTTTTTCCAAAACAGGGGTATAAACACCAAGATGTTCTCATGCACACGTTCCACGGATTGTAAAAGTCTGAGAGGAAGGGTTTCTGAAAATGAAGAGTTTGATGAGAACGGCTTGCAAAACATCACGTGAGACGTTTCACCATGCCTGTAAGGACTAGCTGAGCTGTCGCTTGCTTTGCCAGCAAATCATCGTGTTGCTTGGAGGGAAGTAAGAAAGCTGATTTTCTCCTCAAGTATGCCGTACCAATATTGGAATTTTTTTTTTTAAAAAAAATACAGATACACCTCCCAGGTGTGTATCAATACATACAAGTTCGGGAGAGCACCCGCAGGTTTACACAGCAAACCTAACAACCTCACTTGAAGTTAAAACTCCACCAACCCAACCTGTGTTTTATCTTCTGCTGGCATCTGACCGAGCCTTCACTGCACTGATCAGTGTCTCCTTCCCACTGCATTGCTGGTTTCCCAAGTTAGAAGCAGAGCCAAGGTCACCTTGCTCAGAACAGCTGCTTTTTAAAAGGAGAGTCCCTGTATATTAAAGGTCTTCCATCTATTACCTCCACCCTTCTAAACACACAGCTTAGCAACAACTGCATAAATTCGGCCTAAGCAGCACCCTATGGAAGAGAGCTAGCATATAATAGCTCCTACATACTTATTTTGCTCTATACATGCATATAAATACACCCATATATATATATATGTATGTGCCAGATAGCTGTCTGCACCTCCTCTTAAGGTGCACAGCTCATCTTTGGGTACAGGGCTTAACACTTCACATTCATCACTAAAGTGTCCAGCATAACAGGCATTTTAAGGAATCGACCACACCCAAGCCCTCTGCTATGCCAAGGTGTCCATTTGACATGTGCAACAACTGCTGGACCAGTTGAATATTGCTCCAGAGGATGACGTTAGAAATCCACATTTAAGACAAGCCTTTCTCAGCCGGTGTGTGTGCTAGAGCCCACGTCCCAGCAGCTTTGGTTCCACCTCCAGACACCTTGAGTCAGGCAGCAAGGAAAACTAAATGTAGAGGTTGACGCAGATGTTAGGCTTAAATGTTGAACTGCAACATCCTTGGCCTATCTTTTAGCACTATTTCTGAAAGCATCAACCAGGCAACAAGGCAATTATACCAGTGACCAACACTCTTGCCTGCGGTGAAATTCAGCACAGACGTTAACGATCAAATTTCAGAGTCAGCACATATAAAACTCTGCCTGAGCCAGACCTTGTTATCAGCAGATCTGCAGGAAATTTGGGATCAGAACTACCATTTCTAGCCACCAAGGTAATGTAGTGGTTTAAAGACCAAAAAAATGCTTTAATGTAGGATCACAGGCTGGATCCCAGCCAGCCAACAGCACTGCTTTAAAAGGAAGTATTTATCTCTACAAAACACTTACTAAACAAAATACTAGGTGCTTGAAAATAAAGCCTTCACTAAGCAACCAGATTTTAACCTGAAATTCTGCACAATGGCATTCTCTTCTGCTGCAGGTAAGACCGATTCCCTTACACAGCACGCTTATTTCCTCTCTTTCTTTTTAAGAAAAAAAAGAATTTTCTTTCAGTTTAACTTTGAGGCAAGATGGAAGACCATAGCCCGGCCTCAAAGACATGAGATCTTTTGAACTCAAAGTCAGCAGGCTCTCACAGGAGCTGAGCTCGAGGGCTGCTCTGGAATAAATCAAAAAAGATTTACTCTTTCACTTGAACAAAGCTGAAAAAAAAAAAAACCACAACAAAAAAACCTAGATGTGCTAGGGGTGGGGAGACAGCTAACAGGTTAAAAAAAGTATATATAAAAAAAGTTAAGAGAGTGGCATTATGGCTTGACTGCCACGATCACATAAGCTAAACACTATCCTGCATGGTTGGATTTCCTGGAGGAAATCACCAGCACAGTTGCTCTGCTGGAAGTGGTTCAACCCAAGCAGATATGGAGCAGGTGCTCCAAACATGACACACAAGGACACAGCACTCCTGGAGAAATCTTTTGACAGCAAGTCAAAACAGGGGCTTGAACTAGTCATGTGTCATTAGAGATGCAGCTGTGATTTTTTTCACAGATTAGTAGAGTTCAAGGCCAAAAGGGACTTTGAGAGCACCTAGTCTGCTTCTTGTTGTATCACGGGCCATTACGTTTCATCCAGGTTTTCCTAAGAGCAGGAGTTAAATCCCAGCAAATCAAATCCCAACGTGAATAACTGAGGTGGCTCCTAGTTAACAATCCGTGTGCCACTTCCACTCAAAACCTGGGGCTGCCAGAGTAGCTTTGTGTAGGATGAAAATGCCTCTCAGTGCCCTTGCATCCCTCTGCCAGAAAACACCGCAGGAAGAAGTGATTCCATGCTCCAGACACTTTCCTTCATGCTTGACACCTTTACTCAAGCCCAAATTTATCAGCAGTTTTGACAATATTCTGGAGTTTGCCTCAAGGAACTTAGCACAGGGCACAAAAATCTCATCCTCTGGCTTCATTACAGGAGTGAGAGGAAAACCAGAGAAGGAGGAATGTGCTGCTAGCAGCAATCTCCAACCCCTTGCAGTGAGATCGCCTGCGGTACCCAGTCAGCCACCCCACACACACAATACCTGCACATCAGCACCCATGGACTAATCCTTACATGGTGAACCTATCTTGGTTACAAAGTATTTTGGGACAAGAATCTGCCCAATGAATAATGCTAAAGAAAAATTTTCAGATCACGCATGCAGTTTCAGAGCCCAACTCTCCCACTGAACTGTGTGCAGGGATTTGGATCCCAAGGCATCCAGACACCGAGCCAGCAAGCTCAGACCATTGGTGACATTCAACATTGCTTTTAAAATCAGAATTTAAAATGCGGAAATCAGATTATTGTGAAATGTCACTTCTTTGCCTGCAGATCTGCCAGCTGAATTTGGCTAAAACTTCTAGCAAATAACAGATGATTAAATGAAAGAGTGGATGGCCAAAAATATATGTAAAGGGCTCGATTAAGACTCCACGGGTGACACTGTACTGATGCTGCCCCAGCTTGCCCCATCTCACTGTTACTTTAACTTGACTACGGGGAGAAAGAAGGCTGCTAGAGGAGTGCAGAGATGTTTGGATAGACTGTGTGAAAATACAGCAAAGGGAAAAGTAGTCAAATGCCAGGCGTGGAGCAGCCTGACACCACAGTGCTCATTTGTGCTTTACCTTCTGCATCTTGGCTCAGACCTGTCCTGCGTCACACATCGACTCCTTCACCGCTTTTCTTCTTTCTCCCAGCATTTATCTCAAGGGTTCTTCTTCTCCTGTTTAATATAAAAACACAAAGCCACATGTGATTAAGAAACATCTTACCCATTGCTGAGAGGTATTGTGCCTATTAGCACACTGGTTAATAACACTCAATCCCAGAACCATCTGGGTTGGAAAAGCCCTTGCAGCTCCTCCAGCCCAACCATGACCTTCCCTCTGACCGTTCCCAACTCCCCCAGATCCCTCAGCGCTGGCTCAGCCCGACTCTTCAACCCCTCCAGGGATCCCGGGGACTCCCCCCTGCCCTGGGCAGCCCATTCCCATGCCCAACAATCCCTTCTGCAAAGAAATACTTTCTGATATCCAGTCTAACACTCCTTCCAGACCATCTCCAAACAGATGAGAGATTCATGACAGAGTCAACCTCAAGCCCAAAAGCTGCCATGGGCTTGACAATCTGGGCTGCTGGGGAGTATGAGAGGCTGGAGGACACTAGCTAAGGAGACCAGAACAGGATTAGGCCCAAGGATACCTCCCTGGGGTGCTGTGATACCTAGACCAGCAAGACCCATCCTCAGCTCCTGCATATTCCTCAGCACTGCAGAGACTCACAGAGAGGGGAGGGCATCTGTAATAAAAAGCAAACTGGCTAAAATTCCCCAAGCAAAGTTTGCATGACCTGGACTCCCAGTCCTGAGCCCTTTCCATTGCAGGAACACCATGAAAATGAACTCTGAGCCTCCCCTACTTGAATATGATGCTTTGGCTTGTAAGAGCAGCATGCACTCCCAGGGACAGCCACATCCAGAAGGACACGAGAGATGCTCTTGGTTGTCAGCCCTGCCACTGACTCCCTGAGTTACCCTCACTCCACCAAACCCTGGCCCGTTAACTGAAGCTGGGGATGAGGATATTTTGCTTCATAAGAGGCAGTACAATCTACAGCAGCAGAACCACAGTGGTAAATGATCAGCATGCTTTACAAACCCTCCTGATGATATCTCTCCCAAAGCCAGGCCACCTGGAGAAGGGGTATTTCAAATCCTTTGTACCTAAATGGGATGAGATATGGGTCGCCAGCTCTGCGCTCCACCACCTCAAAGTCAGGTGTTCTCAGCTCCCTTCACAGAAAACATTTCCACCTGGCAACCAACAGCTCTCAAGTCACACGCATGTGACCACTTCCCACAAAAGAGAAAATAAAATAGTTAACTACGTTGTTCCGTAAGTGCCAAGGTCAAAGAGGAGCACTGCAAGCCACCCAGTCTGACCTGTTCATGACACACCATGAGTTCCACCCACTAGTTCCAGCCGCAAGCCCAGTAACTCACAATGACTTTTCATCCAGCTTTTTCCCTAGCTCAAATCCTCTCCCAGACATGCTTCTGCTGCAAACAACTGTCTGATCTCAGCAGCCAAACATACAGAAAACTGAAACAACATAGAATACCTTTTGCTAACCCAAGTCCAAGGCTTCAGGACTATCATTCAGCAGGCGATGCCTTTGCAGTAGGTGGCATTTCCTCTTGTTTCGGAACAAAAAGCGCTGCGTATCAGGGCCATCCACATCCTGCCTTCATCCTCCTACACAGTCTTTTGGACAGTTACAGCTTTGGCGGCCAGTAGAAGCAGAGTGTCCCAAGCCTCCCTCTTCCCACCCCTACACTTACTAATGCGTTCCATACTCGTAGCCTTTCACACAGTCCCAGCTCCGCTGCCGCTCCCAGCAGGGAGCTGGTGCTGGTCCTCGGGGGCTGGTACTGGGCGCTGGTGACAAGACTGGCAGCTGCTTATAAAGGCTGCCTCCATCCTTTTCACTTCAGCTAGCAAAATGCTTCCCAAGTGCCTACATCTCTGGGCTACAAAGGAGGAAACATATCGTGAACGTAGCTCTTCTCTCTCTTGGCAGGCTGCTGGATGTGGCACGTTTCCATCTGCACAAGGCTACAAGATGTTTGCAGAAACTGGAACTAACAGCCACAACCCCTCTATTCCTCGCTCCTCCCCAGACTGCAAAGCTCTTTCTCCAGAGTTCTCCAGGAATCACGAGTGAAGATGTTACTCAACAGCCACAGCTGAGGATTTTATTTCATCATGCCCTGCAAAATACACGCTCCAACACTCACCCACACTATGCAAACCCAGCATCTGTACAAAATCTTTGCTGGCTCTTTGAGGTCTGGAAATATTTTATCACGCACTTTGAATGCACACAATTTACAAAATAAAAATCCACAGTGGTTGAATTATGTTTGTTTTGTTGGGTTTTTTTCTTTCAAAGTCACAAATTATTCTGGGTGAAACTCTGGACGCTTGGGGCAAAGGACCCAAGGAATAAGAGCAGCACCTGGAAATGAGATGCCAAAATTCAAATCAGCCAAACAAACCACTCTCCTGAGAGCTTAGGGCTTTTTTAAAAGCGTAATTCTAATGTAAGCTCTCTAAAAAACATTAGGGTGCTCATGGGATAAATGCTACCTTATGATAAAAGCAAAGCCCCCTCTCTAATAAACACTGTACAACTTATATAATGTAAAAATTACAGCATATACTAATGACAGTGATCAGAATAGAATATCAACAGCAATAATAGTACGCTAGCACAGACTCACCCAAAAAGAAAGGCAGTTTCTCTCTACTCTCCATCCAAGAAGCGGTGGCAAGTAGCTGTTATGACTTCATTTTATTTTTTATTAGTTTTTACAAGCTAACTATGCTAAAAGGTTGCACCAGTCATTTAAACTGCAGTTGTCAGCAGAAGTGAAGGACATTGTGGGATACATTTTATTCTAGCTCTTTTATTGCTTGGCTCCTTGGAGTGATTCAAGTAGCTTAAGGATTTTACAGGTACTGTCACAACAATATCCGGCCCTTAGCAAGCTGCCATTTCAAAAAAAAAAAAAAAAAAAAAAAAAAAAAAAAAAAAAAAGAGACCAAAACACCCCAGCCTTTAAAGAAGTGCCTGGACCAGCAGAAGCTGTTCTAGAGTCAACAACTGTTGATTGCTACCAAATTGTTCCCTCACGGGGACGTGAACTTTCCACAATGCTTTTCTCACTTGACGGAATTGGAGGTGGCTCCGTAATATGCGGTAAATGCTGATTTCTGCAGCTCTGCCAAAACACACACACACACACACACACACACACACACACACACGCGTGTAACTCTCCCGCCATCGGTGGGAGCCAGGAGCACTCTGGCACACATCTGCTGCGATGTGGCAATGCGGGGGACACGCTGCTTCATGTCCCTCAGGCTAAAACCAAGCGTGGCAGCAGGGGATGGGCTCTCCATGGGGTGAAATCTGGACGGACTGCACACGCTGTAATTAGGTGCTGAAGGGAGACCTTGCGTTAATTTGCTTCTAAACAAGCCTCTCCTTTACCCTCATACCTAGGCACAGAAATTAGCTCCTCTAATGTATGTCAGGACTGGAACGTGGCTCACCAAACGCTGCTGACGTGCACGAGGGAGCCAGCAGAAGCAGGCTGGGGTGTCGCCTCCTCCAGACCCGGTCCCAGGAGATGGAGAGGAAACACCAGATATCCCCAGGGTATTTTTTTAGCCGTGCCCAGCGCTGCCCCATCGATCAAGGGCAGGTAATGCCACATCCCTGCTGTGCCAGCCCCTGAAGGGGATAAACAGCAGACTGGAGCACAACGTGGCTGGCACAGACCCAAGCCAGGAAAGCCTCAAACAGCGCTGGCAAAAGGAGAAATGTTTTGAAGATTCCTCAGACAGCAGGTGTCTGCTTTTCGTCCAAGCACCACCCCAGGGTTCTGCTGGACTCTTCTCTACAGACAATCAAAACACTGTTGAATTTGCATGAGCCATTCCTTAAACTTGCGCTCACAGACCAACCCCACTAGACCAAGCGGGTATGAGATGCTGCTCTTCCTCCTCACCCAGCTGCCCCCAACACGGTGGGGCTGGGGGGCAGAGAACATCCCACTGCCAAGACGTCTGCTGGCTGCCTGCCTGGCAGAGGACGCACTTCCAGATCCGATTATGAAAACCAACCCGGAAAAAGGGAGGAGGATGTTATTTTTGGGAGGGCAGAATGAACCAGGGCATTCTTGGTCAAAGCAGTGCGTTACTTTGGGCACCAAATCTATGACTGAATTCAAGTCCTGCTTCCCCACCACTCAGCAGGTCCCCAAGTGCCACCCCCACACCAGCAAGCCCTGAAACACATGTCCCACCTCAGCCTACCTCTTGGGGTGCTTGCAGTGAGAGGGGGCTCCCAAAGGTGACAAACCTCTGCTGGAAGGGCTTGCAGGACCACGCTTTCATCTGCATCACGGATCCCGATTCAGCACAGAGGTAAAACTCAGCTGAACCCAGGTTACCCTGCACTCAGGGCAGAAGCAGCCCAGCTGCCTGATCTCAGTTACACCACCGAGTTGCAGCAAGAGCCCAACCTACATCGCCCAAGGCATAAGGCAGCATTATGTGGTGCCTCAAAAACACCTCTACTACAAAGGTGAGGTTTTCTGCAGGAACTGATGCTCTGAAGATAATTTTTTTTTTCCTGCAGAGACAAAAGCCTTAGAACAGCATTAAGAACCCCAAGTTACTCCTCCACCAACAGCCTCAGCAACTCCACCACTGCCAGAGATAAAACCACCTCAGAGATAAAACCACCAAACACCATGATCCTAACCCCAGCTGAGATGACAGAACCACCAGGTGGTCTGGGTTGGAAAGGACCTTTAAATAACATCTAGAGCAAACCGCCCCGCCATGGGCAGCACCATCCTTCACTAGCCCAGGTTGCACAAAGCCCCGTCCAACCTAGCCTTGAACCCTTCCAGGGAGGGGGCAGCCACAGCTTCTCTGGGCAACTTGTTCCAGCGTCTCATCACCCTCAATGTAAAAACATGTCTTATGTCCTGTCTAAACATACCTGTTTTCAGTTTAAAACCCTTGCCCCTTGGTGTGTGTGGGGGGTGTGTGTGTCCCTCTACCTCCTGGCTACACTTCTGATACAGCCAAGGACATGGTTGGCTTTCCAGGCTGCCAGTGCACATAGCCATATCCAATTTTC